TTTTTTTAAACGAATTTACATTTTAATAAAAAAATTCAAACTTTAATCCTTAAATCGAGAATGCACTTCCTGTAAAAACTTATAATTATCGTTCAGCGAAACCTAGTTACCATTCTTTCTTCTTTCTTTCAAAGCATTGAAGTGTTAGTTACGTAGCATCACAAATATTTAAATTAATTTTCACATAAATTAAAAAATTTAAATTAGTGGATATGATTAACTTAATAAAATTATTTTTTTGGCGTAATTATTTCCTAAACGTTCCTTATATTCAACACCGTCTTATGATTGCTTTATATTTAAGAAATTCTTTATATTCTTGCATTCTTCAAAATAAAAAAAGGAAATTCTTATTATTCATCTACCTAATGAATAATTTTAAATTATAAATTAAAAATAATTGGCTGATAATATTTGTTTATAATCAGTCCTACACATTTGACGAAATACTTTCACCTATTCCTCAAAGAAAAGTAGGGGTGTGTACCAAAAATAAAGAAAAGTGGGGTGTGGTATTTCCATACCCTAACATAATTAAAATCACGACATTTTAATATAATTATTTATTATAATTTAATTTAATTTTTTTATTTTTTAATAAATTAAAAAGTATAATTATTAATTAGAATAAAAAAATAAAACATTAATAATTAAAAATATGAGAATAGCATTATTTAAAAAATATTATATAATTTAAATTATATTAAAATGTACAATATTTATTATTAAAAAATAAATTTTTAACATTTAAAATTATTATTTTTTTATCAATAATTTATTAATTTAAATAAAAAGATTTCGATCCCTTTAATAAATTGTCGAGTAATGGAAAACCTTCCCACAATACTTGTGTCAAGTTGTTTTAGGTAAGAAAATAATGGCACCGCAACAAAAAGGTGACTGACCCATTGAGTTAAAAAGTCTAAGCCTTACCTTTTTCTTCTTTTTATTAGTACTAGTAATTTAATTCATTTCTTGGTTTTAAAATTCATTTTATCAAGCTTCTATTTGGTGATATTCTTTTCCATGGCATTTGGTAAGTGTTGTAACTACCAAATCACCAACATGGCTATGATGATTATTGCTAGTATTTAGTCCACCCATCTTGTGCACTACAGTATAATTTAATTGGGATGGGCTTCCAAATAAAGTGAGTTCCGCCCAAGCAATTAAGAAACCAAGAAATAAAAAATAAAAAAATAAAAAAATAAAAACATCTTAATATTAAAATTATTAAAATATCCAATCACAATAATTATTTAAGTGGGGTTCCACTTAAATAATAGTTATACTCCATTAAATAATAATAATTGTAATTGAACATGTTAATAATTATAATGTTAAAATATCTTGGTTTTCTATATGCTTATTAAGGAATGCAAGGCAGTCCATGTTTAATGCCTAGCTAACACCTTTTACTTTTACAATGCATAAGATAGGACACAACCTCGTGAATATATATTGGAACCAATTTCATAGGGCATGTTTAGCTTACGGAGATGAGTGTTTTTTTAACAATTAAATTATTTTTT